AGAGTTTTTGGAGGGATGTGCTTTATACTCTTAAGTTGACAAGACCTCATTCATCACTCTTTCTCAGGATTGTTGACGGAGAGAAAAACCCACCGATGGGTTATATTTATGCAGCCATGGATAGAGCTAAAGAGACAGTTGTTTCGAGTTTTAGATTGAAAGAGGGGAATGCCAACTTCATCGACCTTTGCATGTAGCCGGTTATTTTCTAAACCCAAGTCTCCATTATGATAATCCAGACACAACTTGTGAAGAAGTTATGAAGGGTGTCTACGAGTGTATTTCCAGATTGTCGCATTCTTTCGATACGGAAAATCTAATAATAAAAGAATTAGCAGAATATAGATCTGCAAATGGTCTATTTGGTTTACCGGCAGCCATTAGACTAAGGAATACACAATCTCCAGGTATCAAATTTTAAAATTTAAGATATATATTATATTACTTGTGTTATATTAGGAATTACTAACATTTTTATCAAATTTTAAAATTTAAGATATATATTATATTACTTGTGTTATATTAGGAATTACTAACATTTTTTTTTTTACATTTTTATAGCGGATTGGTGGATTTCTTTTGGATCTTCTACTCCCCATCTCCAAAAGTTTGCTACAAAGATCCTTAGTCTCACTTGCAGTGCCACTGGTTGTGAAAGAAATTGGAGTGTTTTTCAACAAGTAAGTAATATCTAACATTCTTTTTATTTGTATTAAATTAAATTATGTATTTTTAATATGTTTTAAATTTGATTTTCAGATTCACACAAAGAAGAGAAATAAGTTAGAACAAAGTCGATTAAATGACTTGGTTTATGTCAAATATAATCGAGATTTTGAAACGGCGACACAACATGAATGACACCAAAGATCCTATTATGTTGGAACATATTGATGAAAGTAATGAATGGCTAATTGGTAGAATGAAAGGTAGCTCAGATGAAGACAATGATTTTGTGTTTAGTGGTGATGATGGCCTCACGTGGGGTCAAGTTGGTAGAGTTGCTGGAGCCCATGATCCTAGTTATCATACTAGAGGATCAACAAGTGCAAAAAATAGTACTACTTCTTCCTCGTCAATTCATAAAGGAAAGGGTATTGTTTATTCCGATGAACAGGAAGAAGATATCGGGGAAGTGGAAATTGGCCGCTTGTTAACCTAGATCTCTCTCTCTCTCTCTCTCTATATATATATATATATATAATGATAATTGTACCACTATTTCTAATGGGTAACTAGCGACGGTTTCTTGCTATAAATGAAAGAAGATGAAGCGATGACGAGAGGAGACAGGATAATGCTAAGAGGATTAAAGTTCCATGGCTTCCACGGAGCAGTTCCTGAGGAGAGGGCGTTAGGTCAGATATTTATGCTCGACATCGATGCTTGGATTTCTCTCCGAAACGCTGGTTGTTCCGACAACTTGGGAGATACCGTTAGTTACGTCCACATCTTCAGATTATAATTCTGCTATATTATATAATATTATATATACACACACACATCACTGACCATGTGATGCTTGAATCCTTGATCATATTGGCACTAGATAGATACCCTTTTGAGGAATTCTTCCATTGGCATACATCATGAACGTTGCTTTGTTGCATCATTCTAAAGCATATTTTACCAGCATTATGTTTTCCGGACATGAATCCTCATTCTATTTGGTTCGTTGAATGGATAATTTCGGCAGCATAGCGAAAGAAATCGTCGAGGGTCCGCCGAAGAATCTTCTAGAATCTGTTGCAGAGATCATCGCAGCGAATATTCTGAAAATGTTCTCTCCTATAACGGCAGTCCCAGTGAAGCTATGGAAGCCGAATGTTGCAATTGTTCAGGTCCATGCCGGATACTTTTTTTTTTTTTTTTGTTAAAAGGCTGTATGTATATATATTAAAAAAAGTTTACAAGTGCCACATAGTGCGGAGTACAGGTAGTAGTTGATAATTAATAGAATGGAAATGAATGTCAGACTCTAAACAATCCGACAACATCGACGCTAGGAGAACCAGAGTTGAATGCTGGTGCTAGCAAGTTCTGGCCTTTGCGGCCGTAATGAAGCAATTCGCAGTCGGAAAGTACTGTCAACAACCTTCTTGATCGCCGTTGTGTCGGAGTACAAATGTTGATGAAGCCTGGTATTCCTTTCTTTCCAAATTGAGTATGACACAATCTGCCATAATACTAGCAATGTCTACCTTCCGATTTTACATCCTTGCAACCTTCGAAACTCATCAAGTAGGTGTGCCCAGCACATTGACACAGGAGAGAAGCCTATCTTCGACATCGCCCAGGATAGGATTTCCGTGGAGAATGGACAAGTGAAGAAAAGATGGTCTCGGTTTTCCGGCGACAAGTTGCAGAGGGCGCATAGTGGATCTGTTTGAATGCCCCAAGCAAGCATGCGGTCCTTGGTCGGACACCTGTCCAGATCAATCAACCAACACATGAAAGCATGCTTAGGTAAGTGGAACTTGAACCAAATCTGTGATGATCTGATTGTTGTATTTTGGTCGATGAGTGTCTTCCAGATATCCATAGCTCTGAATGATCCAGTAACTTTGCCACAAATAACCCAATTCGTGGTGTCTGGAGAGGTAGAGATGCTGAGGGTGAGTAGGAAGGAAGTCAGGAGGCAGACTGTCTCTGATCTAGGTCTTGCTATGGTCCATCTTCCGTCAACTTGAGCTTCTGCCACTAGAGCATTTCGGTGAATTGCGAGTTGTGTTGGGCCTGTGGGACCAAATATGTCAATGAGTGTGTCCAGCGGAGTCCATAGGTCATCCCAAAATCGGATGGATTCTCCACTCCCCACTGTGATGCGCACAAAAGTTTTTGCCCAGTGCCGAAGCTTGAGAAGTTTCCGGAATGTCCAGGTTTGTGCCGAAGAAGGCTTGACCGACCAGAACGTGTGTCGGATACTTAGGAGGCATGCCGGATACTTAGGTGTCGGAATGTCCAGGAGGCATGCCGGATACTTAGGTGTCGAGATTATTCGATACCGAAACCCTAATTGAATTCACCACATGTTCCCTCGTCAATCTTCGATATTCGAAGCTATTGCTTTTATGTATTCTCTCATTCTTCTTAGCCGGTTTTAGTCTCTTAATTTGTTTGGTTTTGTGTCTTGGAATATATTTAATGATTATGTGGGTGATCAACATTTTAATCAAAATTTGATGTGAAATGTTATAAATTCGGCGCATTGTATAAATTAGGGTCAATTTTGTGAACTCATAAAATTATGGATCCCTAATTGATATTTCGAATAAGTTATACAGTACTAAATTCCACAGTTCTTTGTTAATGTATATTCGACATGTTGTAAGATTAATGCGTATTCCGCATAAATGTTAAAACATTTTTCAGTGTAATGGACGGAATAGAACCAAACCACAAACCTTATTTTGTTCCTTTAATATTAATTGCACAAAAATCCTTGTATACTTTATAATGTTCAGAAAATGTCTCATATTTTCTAATTAAAATTCCGCGACCTTGGAAAAATTATCATATTTTCTAATATGACCCCCTTTACCAAAAGAAGAACAATAAAAGAGAAAGTTATCGAAATTTTCAAATGAATATATAATTTTTATATAAATAGATCAATTATTTGAAATTTTCATACATATACTGAAAAAATTCATGAATACGCACTCCTCAACAACCCACTGATTCTATTCACTTGCAAATCAAATTTTTCTACAAGACTTTTAGTTAAAACACAAATACTTAGAATGAACTAGTCACGTCAATCCTAACATATACATTAATTTTAAAATGTTTCCTATCAAATTACTAATAATGTTAAATATATAGAGGATATCTATCAAAACTTTTAAGATAGAAATATCTCATTGTTTTTAATTATTATTTTCAAATATATATTTACGCTTTCATTTAATGTTAAATTCTAACGACTATTTATATGTTAAATTTGTATATTTATATACCGATTTTAAATATTTATCATGTTTATATAAAAAAAATCACAAATTTATTTGATACTTGTTTATAATTTACATACTTTTTCCTAGATTTTCTAAAATTAAGAAAATAAAATAAAATTTTTTGTCACAAGAAAATGACATAGTTGGGAAAAATTGATCAATTACGTTATTTTTTTTTCTTGTCATTTAATTATTAACACATGGAAAACACCTCATTGCAATTAATCATTACACACAGACGATGACCCCACAACACCTAATAAGTTCGTGTCCTGTGGGGTCTCCCCTCAATAATGCAACAGCCAACCAACCATACTCACCACCACTCATTGATTATACATATATATATATATATATATATATATGATGATCATGATCATGTTGATGATGGTGATGATGGCATGGTAGCAAGGACAGTTCCATATGGACATATTCTTTGCCATACATCCAAAAAGGAAAAAAAAGAGAGAGATCCTTAAGGCCAAAGAAAATCCCTCTTTATGATGATCATAATCACACAACAAAGTAATTAAAAAAATGATTAATATATATATATATAACACTAATTACAGTATTCATAATCAAAACCAAACAAAAAAAAAAAACCCAACAACAATCTCTTCTCAATCCATGGACTGATTCCATGATTCCTCCTTATTGCATTTCCTGGCTTCTCCCTATCACCTGCAGATGCAAAAACAATGATCATTTATCATTTATCATCCATTCAAGAACGAAATAAAATCGCGAAAACGATCATACGAATCCTAACCTTTTGAATGTGTTTACAGATGTATCGGAAGTTTTCGTCTTTTTCTATATATCGACGTGAATTCACCGGCACGATGAAAGATACGAGTCTCGGCGGCCAAAAGCTCCGAGCATTCGACATGCTGCTTCCAGCAACTTTCCTGTTTGTGAATTGACAAACATTAAGATCTTTATTTGACAAAATCAATCATATGATCTGTATGCATAATTGCCATGTGATCAAATAATCGGTTTCGATAAAAAAAAAAAACATGGAGAAGGATGGAAACGTGAGAAGATTCCTATTAGACAGCTTGGTCTGAAGCAGAACAGATATGTTATGGGGGAAGCTTCGATTCTTGTCCTCCCCTTTGATATCTCCTAATATTCCTCCTAAATCGCTATAGATAGGCATCGGATTCTAACGTCGTTATCATTGCCCTTTCAATCCGAGTGAAGGGTCGCGTGATATTTTCCCGAACACCAGAGGTTGCTTCCTCGGGAAGCAACCGAACTACAGAATCTAGAACTCGGAAACCCTAACTTGCAGCAAAAGCAACTTCTCTTTCGGGGCAAAAGATTGAGCTTTTAATCAGACTACGACAAACTAGTAATGCCGCTACCCTCCATTGAACAAAGATCAAAGCATCAAGAAACTCGATTTCGACAAAGGAATTGACAAAAAAAAAAAAACCGAATCTCTCTAGCCCTAGAAATCTCAATCTCTACCAGTTCTAAGTCCCTAACTCAAACTTGATTCTGAGCACTCAAAACACAACAGGTTCAATCGAGGAAATGGCGAAAAAACGCACCTCTTCTCGGCTGCACAACTTTCTTAACGGCACTGCTCGGTTTCTTCTTCACTGTCTCGGTCTCAGTCTCCTCCTCGGTGAATAGAACCCCATCAATCCCCTGAACCGAAATCCGACCGTCTGTATAAATGTCGGGATCGAACAAGTACGCAGACCGATCACCATGTCCGAATTTCACAGACCCATCAGCTTCTTGAGCCAAGACCTTATGCGGAAATCGCAATGTATCATACTTCACCTTCCCGAATCTCCGGACCGAATTGTACATGCTCTCCTCTGTTTGGTACTCTGGTATTATATGGTAATACATTATCTGCTCCGGAGCTCCTGGTTCGCTTAACTGGTCCGTCGTCAGCTTCGCCATGGCCTCGTCGTTCGGAGCTAACACCGTTAAGACATAACCCTCCGACACCAGTCTCCCCATCTCCGTCGCCAAGGATGTCAGATTCACAAGTATGTCGGCCATTTCGTTGTACCCACCGTAATGTAACAGAGTCTGGATGAAATCCTTCACCTGAGCCTCTCCGTTGAAGTGGTGGTGACGACCTCCCGGTCCCGGCGCCGGCGCCGGAGCTAGAGACGGTCCCGGAGCCATGGCGTCGTAGATCGGAAGCACCGGCGGAGCTCCAGCCGGGACGGAAGCGGCGGATGGTTTCTTGAGGCGGTGGGTTCTTGGGTCAACCTCCGGAGCTCCGGTGGGTAAGACGGCGGATATTGACCGGAGACTTCGCCGGCGGTTGAAGCTCTCTTGGACAGAGCGAGGGATGAGAAGCCGCTCGATCCCGTGGATCACGCCGTCGGGTCGGGTCACGTCGTCGGGTCGGATGACCTCAGCCGAATCCACCATTCTCTTGCCGTTTTTCTCGGTTCTAGTCAGACGCACATTGTCTTCTCCTAGCGTCTCGTGCCTGATACGATCCGAGTCCTGGTCGGGCCACTGGTGAGATCCGACCCGTTTGGGGAGAATGTGGAACATGAGAAGGGTCTGTAGGGATTTGAGGTTGCCGGGTTCGAGCAAGAACCGCTTGAACTCAGGGTCGAGCTCTCGCTCGAGAGCTTCGTTGCGAGGTGCGAAAATGGTGATATTGTGTTGACCGACGGCGTCTTCGAGGGTCTGGAGAAGAAGGGCTTTCTCGACGAGCTCAGCTAGCTCTGTGTAACGAGAATCGAGGAGAGCGACGAGGACGGAGTTGGAATTGATCTGACCCGACCCGGATGAGGAATTTCGACCCGACTCCGGATTCGGTTTCAGGGGCAATGCAGACGAGGCCGTGAAGAGGAGGAGGGAGAGAATGGCGGCGGCGGAGACACCATAGATGTGGCTATCCATGGCGCTCTTCACGATTTGGGTTTATCTTTTTGTCTTTCGCTGATCAGAAAGAAAGGAGGAGAAAAAAAAAGTTTTTTTTTTTGGAAGAGAGAGAGATTGCGAGTTCTGTGTTCAGTAATAGCAACTGGTTTTTGTGGGTTTTCGGACAGGCTGGTGATGGGACCCACACGGTGTCGGAAAATTTTCTCGTCACGTTGGCTTCCGACCGGCTTGGCTTCGGCTTAACTATAACAAGTCATAAAATATTTTTTTATAATTCAGTATGAGGAAAAACATTTATAGCTAAATGATTATTAATTACGTTATTTGATTAAGAAAGATAACCTTTCACATTAAATTTAATAAAACGACATTTTGTTTGCGCAAAACAAAATGGTCAATTCCTAGTTGTTGGTTATATGTATATGTACTAGTGTCGATTATAATTATTTCCAACAACAAATACATATGGATGAGTTTAGAGGAGTTTAATGGAGTTTTTAGAGAAAAAAATGTTATATATTATATATATGTATATGATAATAGTATGTCATGGTTAAAGCCAATATTAAAAAAAAAAAGTAAACTTTTGGTATCTTTATCTTTATTTATAAGAAATGCATTGATATTTGACACGCTAACCGCATTAGGGTCAATGTGAAGAAACGTTAAAATATAAATACCGTGAAAAGAAAAGGTTGATTGGGAAACCCCGTTCATTAAAAGTAATTATCAACCATCAATTATTTTTTTTCAACTTTTAATTTAAATTCTCATAAAAATATTAATTTTAGTATTTTTATGGTTAAAAAGAAATTGACAACAAAATTTCTTTCAATCAATTGTTTATGTCAAAATTTTCAGAGAAAAAAAGTTGATAATGATATTTAATAAATAAAAAAGGCGAGAGATATGAACACGTGGCCTTAAGAGAAGTTGTCGGTGTCTGACCTAAACATCCCTCTTTTTTTTTTACTTATTTATTTATTGTTATTTTTAGTTTCTCTTTTTTTCTACTCTAAGCTTGAACTGAACCACCACCCTCACGCGCCTTCCGTTGGCGCGTGCACTTCATAATAAAAAACGGCGACGTTTCCAGTCGAGCTAGTCCGAAGTGCCTTGGGCCCGGTTCTGGTTTGCGTTTGTAAAACTAGTTTCGTAATTTTTTTAAATTTAATTAAGAAAATCAGGAATTTACAAAATTAAACCGTTGTAAATCATTAACTATATACAAATACAACGCACAAATTTCACATTATTAAAGCATCAAATCAGTAGAAATTTACCCTTCTCATTTGTGTTTGTGAAACTTTAATTTTTTTTTTTTTAATTAGGAAAACTCGAAATCGGACGAAATCAATTTGAGAAAAGTAATTTATTACAACCTGCAAAAGCTATCAAATCCGTATATAGACGGACGTTAAGATTACATATTTATTTATTTTGGTTAAATTGAATGTTGACCCGTGATCGAATTAGTAATGGAACGGGCATACCAATTACCAAACATGTTCTAATTTCTGTACTTTATTTTTATGTGTAACAGTCCATTGCGATCCACGTGTCCTCTTTATCAGCACTTTCTTGTTACAATTATTATAGTTTACATATAAGGAAGAATAAACATCAAAATAAAATGGAATAATACGTAAATAAATTTAAATTAAATCGGACCGAATCAAATAATATTTAAATTGAATGAATATAATACTTTGAACAGAATTAAATAAATCTGAAAGAATCTAATGAATATAAAAATAGTAGAATTAAAATTGAAAATCTTTTGAGAAAATAAATATTTTCTAATGAAGAATTCGTCAAAGAGTTAGTGACCATAATTTGTCAACCAGAAGAAAGAAAAAATATGAAAGCCACGCACACATTGGGCTAAGGCCCAATTCACTACTGTTTTTGGGCTTTAAATTTGTTGACAAATGTACATAGAGCGAGGAAGTAACTAGAACAACAGATCGTAATTACTAATATTTTTTTTTTCCATAAAATCACTAGAGGTCGGCGATTTTTTTATATTATCCGATTTTATTTAATTCCCGTATAAATAAATTCAAACTTTTTTATTTCAAAGTAATCGCGACGAATTCATATATACGCAAGGGTGATATTTTGATTATTAGTTGAACAGTCGAATCAAATCAAACAAAATATAATCGTAATGAAAATGAATCTAATATAAAACAAATAATTTTTCTAAACAAGAAAAAATTTAATTTGAATTGAATAAAAAATAATTGAAAATTCAAAAAATATTTTTGAAAAAATAAGTTTTTTACCAATAAAAAATCGAATTCGAACCTTGAAATAAAATCAAACAGAATCGAACCCAATTTGATATAACACCAAAATAGCTTAACTCGGATATATTCAAACTAATTTTCAATAGTTTTTGGATTAATGTATAAAACCATAAAAAAAATGATTTCAAATATTACATCATTTTCAGGATAGAGTTCAAAATCCTAACTTCTGATTAAACTGTAACAATAAAAAACCTTTCCCTTCGATCACACTCTTATAATCACTATTGGATTCGATTATTTTTATTTTTAAAAATATAATTACTATGAAATAGTTGTTATTTTGAATTTTCGGTTTTTGTAAATTAAAAAAAAAGTTTTTGATTTTTAGTTGATTTTTCCGCAGTTTTTCAAATTTTTGGAAAAACTAAATTTAAAAAATCTTGATTGATTGTTTTTTCAGATTCTAAAAACTATAAAAATAATTCATCCATTGAGTGTGTACATGCATGATAGATATCACATATATAATCATAAAATTTTTTAGTTTTTATTATGGATATGGTACGAATCATGGATCAAATTGAATTAGAATTCACACATCAAATATCATAGAAATTAGCATAATTGAAAAGGACACACAAATAAATAAATAAATAAATAGAAAACATCGTCTTTTGTCTTTACATTTCGCAATCATTGCCTCACGGCGACGGATTTCGACATTGTCGGTGACGGCGACACAGTTTCCCGTTGCGACGGACTTCGCCAGAATCCGGCGCCGTAAAATCTTTCCCACATCTCCTTCTCCAACGCCATCACCGCCGCATCTTCCTCCTCCTCCGCCGCCAGTATCGCCGCCATTGTCGACTTCCCGAATACCTTCAGCTCCAACAAATCTTCCTCCTCCTCGTCGGATACGTCCCTGCTCTCCAACGGATGGACCGCGAACTCCGACCTCCCGAACCGGTTGCGTCGGCGGCTGCGGTTATCCGGCGGCGGAGGAAGAAGCCCACTCTTCACGAGGCGTTTCCGGCGGCGGTGGCGGAGGGCTCGGCGACAGAGACCGGCGGGGACTTTGTAGACGGCGAGGAGGAGGAGCTTCCCTAGTCCGCAGGGACAGCAGCACCACACGGCGGCGCAACTCGCCGTCGTTCCACCGCAGAACTCCGCCGCCGTGGCTCCGCGTCGAGCTAGTCCGAAGTGCCTTGGGCCCGGTTCTGGTTTGCGTTTGTAAAACTAGTTTCGTAATTTTTTTAAATTTAATTAAGAAAATCAGGAATTTACAAAATTAAACCGTTGTAAATCATTAACTATATACAAATACAACGCACAAATTTCACATTATTAAAGCATCAAATCAGTAGAAATTTACCCTTCTCATTTGTGTTTGTGAAACTTTAATTTTTTTTTTTTTAATTAGGAAAACTCGAAATCGGACGAAATCAATTTGAGAAAAGTAATTTATTACAACCTGCAAAAGCTATCAAATCCGTATATAGACGGACGTTAAGATTACATATTTATTTATTTTGGTTAAATTGAATGTTGACCCGTGATCGAATTAGTAATGGAACGGGCATACCAATTACCAAACATGTTCTAATTGCACGACGAAGCCCTCGGTGTCGGCAAGGACTGGCTCCATTGGTGGAGCGGCCGTCTCCGGTTGTGCGATGATGTTTCCGTCGTACGGATGAGCACCGGCATCTGCCGCGCGACCTGCTTCAAGGGCATTGTCGTCGGAGGAAAAGGAAAATAAAAGAGAAACAGATTGTTCGATTCTGCGTCTGAAATCTTAGGGTTTTAGAATCGGAAGCGAAGATAAAGATCCTGATCTTCGTCCACTCCTATTCTCGGTCGATGGCATCAAAAACTCGCCGAGACACGAAATGGCCTGTTTGGGAGCCGAGAAAATCGTCAAGAAAATCGATCACTGTATCTCAGAATTCGAAGAAGAGAGAAGACCCAGATCATCTTCCGTGTCCAAGAAAAAAACCCAAAACCGGAAATCGGAAATCAAAAACCTCAGCATGCGCAGGACCGTGAAATCGGCGGCGGAGATACGTCGTAGAGAGAGAGAGAGACAGAGGCAGAGACAAGAGAAAGCAGAGAGATAAAGAAAAAGAGTCCGGCGGTCAGAAAAAGGACACAGAGTCAGCCGGTAAAATAGGCGGGAATTGTGAGATCCGACAGACGGTTCCCTTTTGAAAATTCGCAGCTGGGAAATCGTTATTGGTCCGAAACAGAGGGAGAAATGACGAGTTGAAGGAGAGAGAGTCCGTACGACAGATGTTTTGATTTGACTTTAAGGGAGAGAGAGAGAGTTGAAGGAGTTGTCTGCTATCTTCAGGTGGATACATACAGCTCTTGTAATTATAACTAATATTTATCTGTTTACTCTCAGATTTATGTTGACACTTCTATGTTTTTTTTTCAGTAATGTTTTTTTTTTCAATTTTAGTATTTATAATCTAATTTTTAAATAATTATTATTTTAGATTTTTTATTGATTATTTTAGTTCCTAAGAATATTTTCAAAATTAAGATTTTAATTACAATGGTACTGAAAATAAAAATACTTGTATCCCTCGGTGTCAAAACGAATCCAACACGTGAGCGTATTCATTATCGACTCGTGTGACAGCTCAGGATATCGTAGGAGGGTGGAGAGTGATCGCCGGTGCGAGAGGCATGGACAATGGGCGGCTCCTGACGAGCTTCTCGGTAGGGGGTACAGGGATGAAGCGGACGCACCGGAATGAGAGAGATCCGAGGGCTGTGTAGGTATGAGACTACACAGTCTAAGTCTAAGATAACTTAAATGAATTAATTGAGCTACTCATAACAACAAGATGCATCTACCTTTTCGGTTGCCTATCTCGAGAGAACTCCAAAGTTAAGCGTGCTGACCTTGGAGTAGTCTTAGGATGGGTGACCTCATGGGAAGTACTTTTCGGGATGTGTGCGAGTGAGGACAAAACACGCTAAAAGGTCTCGTGTTGGTGTGTGGGGACAACTCTATCATTCTGTAACGGCCTCGGGTCGTTACAAATGGTATCAGAGCCGGTTCTCTCCCAGTACGGTGTGGTTCGTGGACGAACCAGGCGGAAGCTGGTGGGCCTGTGACAGCCCAGGATACCGTAGGAGGGCGGGGAGTGATCGCCGGTGCGAGAGGCATGGACAATGGGCGGCTCCTGACGAGCTTCTCGGTAGGGGGTACAGGGATGAAGCAGACGCACCGGAATGAGAGAGATCTGAGGGCTGTGTATGTATGGGACTACACAGTCTAAGATAACTTAAAGGAATTAATTGAGCTACTCATAACAACAAAATGCATCTACCTTTTCGGTTGTCTATCTCGAGAGAACTCCAAAGTTAAGCGTGCTGACCTTGGAGTAGTCTTAAGATGGGTGACCTCCTGGGAAGTACTTTCCGGGATGTGTGCGAGTGAGGACAAAACACGCTAAAAGGTCCCGTGTTGGTGTGTGGGGACAACTCTATCATTCCGTAACGGACTCGGGTCGTTACAACTCATCACGAGTTGAGGCGAGCCACCATTTTTAAAAATCATTTTGAAAGGAGTCTATTAAATCAACTCTCCACAATTCGTTATTCATTGAGCTAGTTGGTTATATTCGCGACACAATTCGTGGGTCGATATATTAATTTTTAAAAAATTATATATATTTTTATAGTTTTATTTTTAAAATATATTATAAAAAATTAATATTTAATTTAACTTTTTATTAGTTACATATAATTTTTATATATTAAAATTTATATTTTAATATTTAAATTTATATTAAAATATTATTTTATTTGGTATTTTTATAATATATATAAAATATTATATTTGTTTAATTCAAAAAATTGGTGAGTTTGAATTAAAGTTTTTCTGACTCGTTTGAAAATCAATATGTCAAATTGAACTCAAAACAAATCGATTTATCACAAACCGAACCAACTCGTTTGATATTCTATTTATATCTATCCACCCGGGTGAAAAAAAATTCTTTAAAAGAAAAAAAAATTATTGAAAAGTTTAAAATTCATGCTATTTATGTTTTTTTTTAGTTTTTTAAATATTATTTATACCCTTAACCATAACTACACTGAATATTATATCCACAACTTGAGTTGAAATCAATATAGGGAAAGTTTCTCTCGAGTAGAGGCTTCAAAGGTATTGGACGACGTCGTTGCGAAGCTCAATTCTAACACTAGAACGACGGTTTGGTAATTGACTACTCCTGGATTTGTCATAAGTCTGAAGGTTCGGGAGATGAGTATGTTAACGTCTTCTTCTTCATTTGTTATTGGTTGTTGTTGTGTTGTAACCCTAATCCATCCGTTGTTCATCAATAAATCAATCCCGATCTTCCCGAGATGTAGGGCCAAGCACACCGCTTGATCCGTACTCGTAGACCGCTGTGCATTATTTCGTTTTGTGTTCTGGTACTGTTTGTAGTCGAATCTGATCTTACCAAGTCACATTCTCACCTTATTTTTGTTTCATTTAGGAGCATATTCGGAGTTGGACGATTGGGAAGGCTAGATTATACAACAGTCTATATTTTATGCAGTTCGAACTGAATACTCCATTTACTCTCTCCTGCAATGCCTTCAATGTTGACTCTGCTTTGTGGTATTCAATGCTTGACCGCCCATCTCCTCACAAAATAAAAGCTCTATCAGAAGAACTTTCACTCACAAAGTTCACCGACACCCCACATTGTAAAATTTACCACCTAGCCAAACAAAAACGATTTCCTTTTTCCTTTCACAGTAACATGTCCAAAGAATATTTTGATCTCATTCACATTGATATACGTAGACCTTTTTCTATAGTTTCTATTGAGGAGTATAAGTACTTTCTTAGCGTAGTTGATGATCATTCTGGAACTACTTGGATTTATATGTTGAGACATAAAAGTGATGTATTGCAGCATGTTCGAGAGTTTGTTTCCTTTGTCCAGACTCAGTTTGATAAGAGAATAAATGTTGTTCATTTTGATAATGTTCTGGAGTTATCATTCAGTGAGTTTTTCAAGGAAAAATGGATATTTCATTACTTCTATTGTGTGCTGACACCGCAACAAAATTCAGTTGTAGAAAGGAATCATCAATACATTCTCAATGTGGCAAGAGCTCTCCTGTTTCAATCAAATCTCCTTGTTGAATATTGGCATGAATGCATTGTGAAAGTTGTGTTTCTGATAAACAGGATACCATCTCCCGCGTTACCGGACATGTCATTTTTTGAAGTTTTGAAGAAGCATAAACCATACTATAAACAATTGCGGGCATTTAGATGTTTGTGCTATGTTGGGCCGTCTCTTAACGTGTTCAATAGGTGCGACTGTATAGGACCCCAAATTTGGAGGGCCCACTTAATTTAAAAAATATTAATAATATATATTATTAAATGTAATATATATTATTAAATGTAATCATAATTATGAAAAGTCACTTCAGAAAAGCATTTATTAAAGAAAATCATTACATATTTTAAAATAAAAATATTAAATAATTTATTAACGATAACAAATTGCTCTATAAAAATGGAAGACTAGAATCATTTATCATTCCACTTTGAAATATCCATTTACGCTCTAAATTTACTCTTTATTTATTTTGTTCTTAAAAACTCAAAGACCATTTTTCATTTGTTGTCAAGAGAATAACACGTAATATTAAGGTACTTTTCAATTTTCTATTTTTGATTACAATTGTTATTTATGTGATGATTTTTTTTTATATATTATTAAATGCTAATAATATTGTTATTTATTTTCAGGTTTGATAGTGGGAAGAAAAAATCGGGACATCAAATTGAATTTATAATTTTCAGTTTTTTTCTTATTTTTTTATATTTATTTTATTAAGTATTTAAATTTAAATATGCCTTCTGGAATTAGAAAATATGATTTTAGATTTGAAAAAACGTAAAAAAAAAAAAAGAATTGAAGAACTAATTCAATCTCAAAAAAGAGTTTTAGATATAAAAGAAGCACAAACACTTAGTCAAAATGAAGATGATATTACTAATAATGTCGTAGATATGAATGAAATTATGATATTAAGATTATTGATAATAGTGATAGTTTACAAATTGATGAAAAAATTTATTATAAAACTAATATACTTGATATTTTTTATCCAAGAAATTGAGATATCTTGATTCTAAAAAGATTGATATTTTAGTAGCAAATGTTTCTAAGTGAGACATGAATATTGAAAAAGGTAAAAAAGATAAATTTTCAAGACGATTTTCATCAATATATTATACTAGAATTTTATCAAACGGTGAAAAATGTGATGAAGATTGGCTTGTTTATTCGCAAGAATTAGATAAATTATTTTGTTTTTGTCGTAAAATATTTAAAAAAATTGGAAAGTGTCAATTAGCAAATGAAGGATTTGGAGATTGGATACATCTTAGTATTAGACTTAAAGAATATGAAATGAGTGCTGAACATATAAAAAATATGGTCACATGTGTTAAGAAAGAAGACTTGGAGCACACTCAAGGAGACGGACTTTGTTGAAATAGAGGAGGTTTCAGACTCTACGTGAAGGCTGTTGCATATGAAGTTGCATGAATACCATGAGATTGCTTGGATTACAAGGATAAGGGCATTAAATCACAATATGGATGTTGGACACTTGCAAACCAAGAAACAGCCACTTTACTTCATCTCCAAATCTGCCAACAACCTCATTAAATGCTTCTGCACATGCACAACTTCAACAGCTAGTTCATTAATGATTGTTCTCTTTTCTTTCTCTATAAATAACATCATCTTGTGCTAGAATGAATTATCAAGAATAAGAAATAGAGACTTAAGGAAATCTGAGTTATTTTTCCTCTATCCTTATTTCGTTCTTATCTCCTCTTTCGTATCAATCTTCATCTCATACCTTTCGTTATTCATATTTCATTTCTTCCACAAACACAAAATTCTACAAGTTAGTATGATTTGCATTTAAATTTTTTTTAAAATCAAACTATTGATAAAATAGTTTGTACACAGAAAGAAAAAAATCATTGGAAAAATATCATGTTTAGAATTATTTCAATTGTAAAATGTAAAATTTCTTTCAAAATATAATTTAGCATTTGGTGGAATAAATGGAAGATTAGTTGAAAATAACAATGGAAATTTTTTGGGTTTGATTGAAATGTTGGCAGATTTTGATCCAATTGTTCAAGAATATTTGAGACGTATTACAAATGGTAAAATTTATAATCATTATCTTGGTCATAATATTCAAAATGAACTAGTTCTTTTACTTTCTTCTACAATTAAAAATGAGTTCATTAGAAATGTAAAGCAAACAAAATATTTTTCTGTTATACTTGATTGTACTCCAGATAGTAGCC